GTTGATGGCTTCCATGTAGCAAATCAGTGAAAGTGAAGGAAACCTTAAGTCAGTGTTTCTCAACTTTGGAGCCGGGACCCCGGGGGGCGGGGGGAGTCACAAGGTGGTGTCAGAGGGGTTGCCAAAGACCATCTGAAAACACAGTATTTTCTGTTGGTCATGGGAGTTCTGTGTGGGAAGTTTGCCCCAATTCTATTGGTGGGGTTCAAAATGCTCTTTGATTGTAAGTGAACTATAAATTCTAGCAACTACAACTCCCAAAAGTCAAGGTCTATTTTCCCCAAACTCCACCAGTGTGCACATTTGGGCATATTGAGTGTTTATGCCAAGTTGGGTCCAGATCTATCATTTTTTTCAGTCCACAGTGCTCTCTGGATGTAGGTGAACTACAACTCCAAAAAACAAAGCCAATGCCCACCAAACCCTTCCAATATATTCTGTTTGTCATGGGAATTCTGTGTGCCAAGTTTAGTTCAATTCCATCGTTGGTGGAGTTCAGAGTGCTCTTTGATTGTAGTTTAACTATAATTCCCACTAACTACAACTCCCAAATGACAAAATCAATCCCTTCACAACTCCAACAGTATTCAAATTTGGACCTATTGGGTATTTGTGCCAAATGTGGTCCAGTGAATGAAAATACATCCTGCATATCAGATATTTACATGAAGATTCATAACAGTAGCAAAATTACAGTTATGAAGTAACAACATGTTATGGTTGGGGGTCATCACAACATGAGGAACTGTATTAAGGGGTCGTGGCGTCAAGAAGGTTGAGAAGCACTGCCTTAAGTGAAATTAAGTGATTGTGGTCTGACCTTCAAGAAACTATCCAAAGTGCTAGAACCATTTTGGTGAGAGGGTTCAGGATTTTGGATAGTTCTTTCAACATTTCAACTAAAATCCAGAGGGCATTTACCACTCCACATGGTGCATCACCTGCCACAGCTTGCAGTACAAAATGTATGCTATACCACAGTCCTCCAACAAAAAAATATCATAAGATTTTCTAATGTGGGGTTTTGGGGGTATTTTTATTATGTTACTATTTTGTTTTAGTTTATTCTATTTTAAAGAAAAAATGAAATAAATAAATACATGCCTCACATTGTTTTAAAAATATATATAAAAAGGAATTTCTATGTGCTCCAAAATTAAGGTTTTCTACCCTTACCAATCAAAAAGTCTTCTGCATTATTACCATTGTTTCTTTTTAGGGCAGTGGTTCTCAACCTGTGAGTCCCCAGATGTTTTGACCCACAACTCCCAGAAATCCCAGCCAGTTTACCAGCTGTTAGGATTTCTGGGAGTGGAAGGACAAAACATCTGGGGACCCACAGGCTGAGAACCTCTATTCTAGGGCAACAAAAAGGTAGGGAACAGGTTGGAAAAGAGAAGCTTTCAAGTGGTAAAAGACCAGCTTGATGGAAAGAGATTTAAGGATAAAAGCCATATCTGAAGAATGTGACAGTTCTTCAGATGCACACTCCAGTAAGCCAGTCTGGGCATAAGCTTCCTAGCATATGGTGATTTTATTAATTTTCTTATTAATGTTAGTAGGTGCAGAAGTTAAGAAAGTCATTTCTTTGGAAGACATAACTCAGAATCCTCCAGATAGTCTGGAGAATTTAGGGAATTGCTGTTCAAAACTGAACTTCTACAGATGCATAAGAGGATCTGTTCTCTAACTGGAGAACAAAGGGTTCATGGGCACATTGGGAAGCTCAGCATCAGCACCCAAAGCTTTTAGGCGGCTGGTCCAAAGAATTCCTCAAAGCATGCTCCATCCACTCATCTTAGTATGTCTTCACTATTGATGCAGATAAAGCATGCTGGTTTCATGCCCAGACAAATGATGGCAGTTAAGCTTCTCAATTTGCATAAAACATCATCCACACTGAATAGTGGTAAATGTTGTTTGCATAAAAGAAAGGGGGATGACATTTGCTGCTGCCTTTAACATATAGTGATTCTTGCTCTTATGCACAGGATTGAACTGGTCACCTGGGTTGGCATCGGGATGGAAATTTCCCTCACAGCACATTGGCAGACACCGGGGCTTTTTCACCTTCCTCTGGAGCATTGGGCAGGATCATCTGTTAGGATCAGGTGGGCGTATCCCACACAATCAACTTCCTGCTTTGATTTTAGGGGGGTCGAGAAGGTGGAACAGAGCAGAGCATCCTGGGTCTTAGTTCCCAAGTTTCATTAGCCTCACCTACCTGGTGACAGAACAGAATATAATGTAGAAGTATGTGATGTGTGTGCGGGAAGGGGAACTGGCAAAAATCAGGTGCCCCACATTATGTGTGAAAGCATTTTCCAGTTGTATAGAAGCATCCATTGGATCCATTCCATGGGTTATGAATTTTCCAACCCTGGGCCACAACTCCAAAAATATTTTGCTCTCAAGGTCCCAAATGTTTTTCTCAGTACATATATTTTATAATGAACATTGGATCATACAGTTGTATGGCTTTTGTATCAAATAAGACATATATTTTGTTCCTATTGCTTTAATTTAACATTTGAAAAGCACTTAAAGAGGCAGAGAAAGGACAGCACTTAGTATATTATGTTAGGTTTTTGCTGAACACTGAACATTTCACATATTCATTTTAAAGATCTTTACAAGTCTTATGATAGGTGAAGATGATCATTCCTATATTATAGATGTGAGACTAAAACTAGGAAAATAATGGATTTTCTACTTTAGTGAGTTTTAAGATTGAACTACATTTTAAACTGAATGTTCCCAAAATACAACTTTGACTATTACAATTCTTAAGTTTTAAAGTGATACCAAGAAAGCTTACAAGATGCAAAAACAACATATTAACTCAGTATATGATCTGCCTTTGTTGTCTCATTTTTTTATTATTGTAGATTTCTTTTAGACACAAGTCTTCCAGTTAAAGTCCAGACCTCAAATTGCAGAGAAACAGCAATAATGAAATTCAGTTGTTAGTTCCAATAAAAGTGCGCTGATTTGTTATGTCAAGACTTATTTGATTTGATCAGTTTTACCCAGTTTTTCGCTTTAGTTGAGATTAACTAGTGGATTTAACCTGCTATGATATAATCCTGGTTTATATCTCTAGAAGATATATTATATATGTTTTAAATTCTGATAGTAATCACAAGCCTACCTCTTATTTACTCTAATACTAGAAAAAAAATCTTGTGTCTACATACATGTGTGCAGAAACAGATATGTGAAAGTAGACAAACAATCCATATTCAAACAGTTTGATTTTTATATAATCAATGAACATGTACATATATTGCATCATAGTTCTTTTAAGTTTTCAGTTCATATTGAGTAACACTAACTTAAATAACCAATGAAACAATGGGTTTCAGGATACAGCTTCTGTAAAAAATATTTATAACTTCTCTTCTATGACAACTAATTAACTGATTAAATTTAACTTTGAGAGAAGGGGATCTGTCTAGCTGGAATAGAAAATAATGGTTTAGATTGGGGGTGCGGATTGTGCAGTCATTTCAAATATTCTTGAACCAAATCTCACATCAGCCCCACCTTTGCAAAACCAATGATGAGGGATACTGTGGGCTGCAGTTTGCAATATGTTGAAAATTTCTCCCATAGTTTGAGTCCAGAAGACATAGAAGAAACAATTATACAGTTGTTTCAATCTGGAGATGCATGAGTAGAAACGATTTCACATAGTAGAGGGTACCTTCTCTCCTCAGTTGGTACCTTCTCTCCACAGTTATCTTCTGTATCTTCTGTAAAACTTGTACTTGGGGGTTAGGCCTAGAATGGCATAGAACAGCGTGCACTTAGAGGAGATTTGAGAGAAGCCATTTTGCATGAGTGAAAGTGCCTTTTTGACTGCACAGGGCATCTTTGGATTGAAACAAGTGCTTCAGATCCTTGCTTTGAAGTGGGTTTATAATTCTTTATAAACATTCTATTCATGGCCCAGGATTAATTTTTACTGTATTTCTACCAACTGTGAGATTGTCCTCAAAAACTGTGCAGTTTACAAAGACCATTTGTCATCGGGGATTTATTCTGTGGGCCCTTCCACACAGCCCTATATCCCAGAATATCAAGGCATAAAATCCCATAGTAACTGCTTTGAACTAGGTTATCTGAGTCCACACTCAGATAATGTGGGATTTTCTGCCTTGATATTCTGGAATATAGGGCTGTGTGGAAGGGCCCTGTGAAAAATCGATGTGTGTGTGTGGTTTTTTTTTTAATGTGGCAAATTAGATAGATTGTGCAGGAATGTTGTTTTCAGCATAGAAAATAAGCAAGGAGACTTGTTTCCTGAGCAGAAAATAACTTTTCTGCACAGAATAATTGTATCTTTCATAAAGAATGAATTCTGAACCACAAATTCTTATCCATCCAAGATTTTTTGATAGAGTAGCCCCCATTTAATCTGGGGTTGAAATATTCATGACTCCACATTCATAGTTTAAAATCGTGTGTAGATAAAGCTTTTTTTTTTAAAAAAAAGGTATTTCCTTTTGTAATATGATTATAAATGAATATGTATGTTTTAACTAGGGGCAATTATCATATAAAATAAAGTAGACATTTATTTTCTTGCAGATGCTTTTATTATTTGGCCATCCAAATACATTGTAGAAAGTTCTGATGTTTCATCATAAGTGATGCAATAGAATATAACAAGTCCTTAAGGCAGTACTTGGAAAAGTCACTATTTGGACTAAATTATGCAGAAAACTACTAACAGCTCTCAAACACTTCCCAATTTCTGCCCGTAAACCAGATTGTAGTTTGATCTGTGTTTTATGGGAGGAATGAAATGGACATATAATGTTTATTTTCTAGTTCAATGGTGGAATATATAGCAATATCATCTTTGAATGCCACATCTTCTAGATCTGCTGAATATTTATTTATTACTTATGGAAGACACATTTTTTAACATGGAGCATTCAATACAATGTATTTTATAGATTCAAGTGCTAACTTTATATTCCTTGTCATTTTAGGTCCTCATACGAAGGTGGTCCGTCGAATATTTACAAATAGCCGTGAGAGGTGGAGGCAGCAGAATGTCAATGGGGCTTTTGCTGAGCTCCGCAAGCTGATTCCGACTCATCCACCTGACAAAAAGCTCAGCAAAAATGAAATATTACGTCTGGCTATGAAGTACATTAATTTCTTAGCCAAGCTGCTAAATGACCAGGAGGAAGAAGGAAACCAAAGAGGCAAAATGAACAAAGACACTGGCATAGTGCAAGAGGATCTCCTTCAGGACATGTTGTCCCCAAACTCAAGCTGTGGAAGTTCATTAGATGGAGGTGGAAGCCCAGATAGTTTCACTGAAGAGCATGAGACAATAGAGCCTAAGCACACAAGAGCTCTTCACCATTCCCTTCTTCCCATTGAAAGCAACACACAGCGATGATGAACCTACAAAGAGGCACAGGCAAGCCCTTGAATACCCGATATTTGGAATTTATGCATGCCCTTTCCCCTTCCTCCTCCTTCTCCTCATCTAAAGATTGAAATGAGTACTTCTCAAGATTTCCATTCAGCCTCAACAATCCGAGAAAGGAAAGAGCAACAGGATGAGAGAGTAACTTGTTAAATCCAGTCCCTTCTTTTTTGCTTCATATCCAGATGCAGCTTCAACCTTCAAAAGTTGTTTTCATACTGGCGTGCTTTTTGAAAGATTTAACATTGTGGGGGTTGAAACAGGCAGGTGGCTCATCGTGTTTTTGTGCCAGGTTTACAACAGATTTGACTGCTGTTTGGTCCTTGTTCATATTACCTCTGCTTCTGCATTGCGTTGCCCCACCTGTCTTTCAGCTAGCCAGACCATGCATCTTCCTTCCTGTGAATACATCCTTGGACATGGAACCCTTCAAAAATAATTCACTGTGTGTGGTGGTATTTTTCCCCAGCTCACTTGGTGGAAATTTATGCAATCTGTCTTTGTCCTTCAGACAAGAGCTTTGCCTTTTCAAAGGAAGAAAGGAAATACTCGCTGTGAAGGAACAGTTGACTTTGTATTGTGGCTTTGCTTTTTGTTGGTTTTGTTTTCATTTTGTTTAATACAGCCCAGGTTTGGATTGTTTGAGGTCTTGTATTTATCATGTGAAAGTCTTTTGTTTAATGCCAACATGCAGTATCTGCTGAAGGTTTTTGTTTTTTAAAAAAATGAAGGTACACCAGTGTGGGATCTTGTTTTCCAGCTTCTAACAATTCATCACAGTGCATTCTTCTGACATGGATGAGGAATAGTATCTCCTTAAACATGTTGTTTTGAGGGTCCCCTTGTTTTGTTTTTTCCTGTAGCAAGAGTGATGAGAAATGTATGTGTGTGTGAATGTGTGCATATACATATATATCGAGAGAGAGAGAGAGAGAGAGAGAGAGAGAGAAACCAAGATTTCAGAAATGCATTTTTGACTTGTTTGGGTTTACTTAGATCACAGTCATCAAGCACAATCCGCCAGAAAAGAACGGGAGGTGCAAATAAGAGATCCATATTGCTGATGCAATCATTGGTCAGCAAAGTTGAGCAGATGTCCAACTGTGTTGTACCATGGACTCACTAGGAAATCTGCAAGAGAAGCCTTGAACAACTTCTCATTAGAAACTCTTTTCTAATGTAGACTGAGAGCTCCTTTACATTCTATTGTGCAATTTAGATTTGGGGTTGTATGTTTTCTACATACAGTAGAGTCTCTCTTATCCAACCTTTGCTCATCCAACATTCTGTATTATCCAATGCAGTCTGCCTCCTGCACGGATCCACAGCTGTCTCAATACATTGCAATATTTTGGTGCTAAATTCAGAAATACTGTAATTAATACAGAACATCATCGTGTATTGAACAGCGTTTCTGTTGATTTGTTGTAAAATAGGATGTTTTGGTGCTTAATTTGTAAAATCATAAAGAAATTTGATGTTTAATAGGCTTTCCTTAATCCTTCCTTATTCTCCAACATTTTTGCTTATCTAATGTTATCGGCCCGTTTATGTTGGATAAGCAAGACTCTACTGTATTTTACAAATGCCAGTATGGCTGTTTCAGCTCAAACACTTGACCCAACTGATTGACCATTTTTTGTTTACTGTTGATTAGTCATTTTATTTTAAGAAAGAATAATTACTAGGACATCTGAACAACTCCGTAGAAGAATGATTTACAATATGCTGAATGATTTCTGGCTTTGAGGAAAAGTTGGATTTTGTAAAATAGTTTCACTTTGGGCAAAAAAAATCGGGGGGGGGGGGGGGGAGAGAAAGAACTGTGTTTATTTGTGAGGAGAAAAAGCAATGTAGAGAAAGAAAATGGAAGAAAAAAAGGGAGAGATTGTTTATCCTATTGGACCATAGACCCATAAATACCTAATAATAATAGAAGAGTTTGCTGTGGAATAATAGCATTATTGCTGCCATTTTAAAATGTCTCCTTCAAATACATTTTATTAACTGGAAGTAACCAGAAAACAGAATCTATAGACTGGAAGAGAAATGTGGAAGTCAGATTAAATGACTTGTAAAGCACTAAATTCTAATTCTTAGGCTGCAGGTATAAAGATAAAATACCAATTAGGGAATAGGCCTTACGGAACAGGGAAGTTCATATTTGAGTAAATGTCAGAGGAGTGTGCTGTCTGTGTGTTTCACTCAATCCTTGACTTGTACGTCCATCGTCATTAGGCCATGTTTGGGGTATTTTTCTTCCAGACTTAGTTGTTCTTTTTCACTGTTTACAAAGACGCTTTTCCTAGATAAGTATCTAAATGGGAAATTGGATACAGCTTCATCTGGCTATTTAGCCAAAGAAAGCTCTGGCAGAAAGGCTTCCTATCCCATCGTAAAAAGAGATTTGGAATTTATCAAACTGCTAGGCTAACACTATGTAAGGTAGCAGGAGAAATACATTATGGTACTTTAAAAGGTCTGCTGTGGCTTGAGAATGACAGTATTTATGTGTATGTCTTCCTCATGCCATGGGAATACAATGACAAATGCAGACCTCTCAGCCTGTAGAGGAATGCTCTTCTCCATAGTTTAACTTAAGCAGCCCTAATGATAATAATACTTATGAATTGGTCTAGCAGGATTTTCTGTTTCCCAATGATTTCACAGCACCTGTCACAAAATGCCATCTTCCCTAAGTCAAGCTGCTAAGATTCCAGTTTATACTCAATGTAAATCTGCGTTTTTATGACAGGGAAGAGAAATATGCGCTCCACCCCCCTCCCCAAATGTTGTTAGACTAATTCCATCAGGCCTTCAAACTTGGCTATGCTTACCAGGGATGACAAATATTGAATCCAAACGTATACAGAGAACTACTTGGTCTCAATCTTGAATGTTTATGCGGACCATCTGACTTTATAGTTCATGGACATCATAATAGGCTACTGGTACTCCACGAGGTACCATTTCTACCCAACTGCGGTTGATAAACTTATGGGGAAAAACAAACTAGCTCCCATAAGTTTGAAGTTTTCTTAAGATATTATCAATTTTTTTTTGCTTTTTAACGGTATGTTCCCGATATTTTTTTCTAACTCTTCCACAAGAAAGCCATAAAAACTATCTTCTTCACTGATATGGTAATTAATGCAATAGTTTCTGGCAATGTCTCTGTCTCTCTTGAACATGTTCTACTTTTGTAAAAACCATTTTATCTGCACAAATGTAGAAACTTGAATTCTCTCATCTGATTTGGCAGTTTCACACTTCTTACACAGCCCAACCAATCTATCTATCTATCCATCCATCTATCTATTTGGTACTGTGGTTTTTAAGACTGATCCTGGGGTTATTTGGGGTGCTGATTCAGAAAATTGCATTGGACAGACTGCAATCGGACACACTGGAGCCCCCGGTGGCGCAATGGGTTAAACCCGTGTGCCGGTAGGACTGAAGACCGATAGGTTGGAGGTTCAAATCAAGGGAAAGCGTGGATGAGCTCCCTCTGTCAGCTCCAGCTCCCCATGCTGGGACATGAGAGAAGCCTCCCACAAGGATGGTAAAACATCTGAACATCCGGGTGTCCCCTGGGCAACGTCCTTGCAGATGGCCAATTCTCTCACACCAGAAGCAACTTGCAGTTTCTCAAGTCGCTCCTGACACAGAAAAAAAAATTGAACAGACTGCATCAGCTCTAGTTTCTTATATATGGTTATCATGATTTTCTATGGGTGAGCAGATGAAAACTGGTATATGACACATGTCCTATATCTCAAAAACTAGAGGGAAAACTGGTGCAATTTTTGGAATCAGCAGGTCAAATGTACCTAGAAACAGAGCTAACATTTGAGGCATCAAAATGTATGTTCACCAGTGTTATCAATTTAGTTGTACAACAAAGTGTGGATATCTTATTTATAGTTTTACTTTATATCCCAGCTGAACTTTAACTTGGTACCCTTCAGAAATGTTGAAATACACACTCCATCACTCACAGGCAGCATGGGCAATAGGGAGATGGGAGTTACATTCTAAAATATGGCAGGAACTAAATTAGAGAACATGCACATTAACCATGTTGGTTAACATAATCACTTTATAATTTTTTTCTTAAAAGTAAAAGAGCCACAATATAGGACAAGATGGAATGTGCCCAGAGAAGGATGACTAAAAAATTCAAAGATCTGGAAACCATGACCTGTGAGGAGTGGCTAAAAGAGCTGGGTATGTTTAGCCTGCAGAAGAGAAGGTTGAGAGGAAACATGATAGTCATGTTTAAATATTTGAAAGGATGTCACAAGGAAGAGGGAGCAGGCTTGGTTTTTGTTTTTTTTTTTGCTGCTCTAGAGACTAGGACTTTGAGTGATGGGTTCGAGGAATGTATATTCCACTTGAATATTAGGAAGAACTTCCTACCAATAAGAGCTGTTCAACAGTGGAACTCACTGCCTTGGAGTGGGATGAAGTCTTTTAAACAGAGTCTGGATGGTATCTGTTGGGGTGCTTTGGTTGCGCTTTTCCTGCATGACAGGGAGTTGGACTGGATTGTCCATGTGATCTCTTCCAACTCGATGGTACTCTGATTCTTTTTTTAAAACATAAAGGCAAAATGTATGGTCAAATGGCTGCCCTAATTGAAAAACTTTACTAAGTTTTCTGAAAAATGCCATTTTACAGCACAGCCCAAGCCACATTGACTCACAAGGAAGTTCCAGTGTGTTTCAAAATAAGCATGTTTACAATAACAACTATAGAAACAATCCTATACTTGTTTATTTAGAAGCAAGTCAATTTAATTTCATGGGGTTCACTTCACTTCTGGAAAAATATGTACAGGATTGCTGCCATATTTAATTAACATCTCAAAATATCAGCAGTATTATAGTGAAGAAGGAAGACATTTTGTCACCAATATCTTTAGAGTGGTAAAACAAAAGAAACAACCAAAAGGTAATGGTAATGACTAACCCTAACCTCCTCCAAAGTAAAAACCCAAAATACAACACAGAGTTTTCTATGTGTGTGTGTGTTTTGGTACTTGTTCAAGGTAGTTTTTCTGGAAAAATGTGAAACTATTCTGCAAATCTGTGCAAGGAGTTTGTATTAAAGCGTTTCACCTGTGCAGATAAGTAATTTTTAGATTTTGAACTTAATCATCTTATGATAGTAGTGATGAGTGACTTTTCCTTCTAAAGCTTAGCTGGTCATAAGTGTTATTTAACTTAAATCAGAGGTTGGAACACTCTCTCTATCTCTCACTCACACTCACACACACTCTCACACTCTTAATCCATGTGAGAGAATGGTACAACCCATGTCGTTTTCCAGAAATGCAGTCTCTTTGTAGTCTCCCAGCATCCGTGTGCCTGGGATCTGTTGATGTGTACTTTAAATTGTGGTTTGGATGGTACACCTCTGCTTTCCCCCACCTCCTTTCTTGCCTGCTCTGTGTCTTGTTGTATATAACACCTTCCAACTGTTCAGTTCTGAGGAAGCAGCACTTTTGGTCAGTGTTGTCCTGTGGGATGGATTTCTTTCTTTGCCTCTGTTTTTCTGCCCTTTATAGCAGAAGTTAAGTAACCAGAACTGGTACCTTTTTATTCTTATTAACTTTGTAAAGCCCACAAGGTGATGTGCTATTTAGAAAACACATTTGTTGTAATGTGTATGTATATATAAATAAATAAATATATAATGACTATATTGAGGATATTTCTAAATAAAGGTTTACAAATCAACTCAGTCTCTATTACGTATTCTTTTGCCAATGAAGAGTTGAGATAATACATCTGCCTAGGAGGGATTAGACCTTGCCACCCATCTCCCATTCATTAAACCTCTTTTTCATGCATTTTTCATTCATTAGCTGGCCAGTAGAGATGGCACAGGAATATAAGCTATGTCCTTATAACTGGAAGATCCAAATCATTCCCCAGGACATCTGGGGCATCCCTGGGAGATCCTTGAAAATGGCCTCATCATTGTGCGACTAGCTGTAGCAGGGGCAGGGCCGTAGCCAGAAAAAAATTTCGGGGGGTTGACACTTTGGGGGGGGGTTGAAAATTTTGGGGAGGGTTGAAAATTTCAGGGGGGGGGGGTTGAAACCTGCCTCCTAGCTCACGCTGAAGCAAAGAGCACAGCAGGGGGCAGAGCAACCTTCAATAGCCTGCAGTTCCACCCCTGCCACTTGGTTGCTTCGCTACATCGGCTATTGCTGCAAGTAATGACAGTGTGAATAAATTGTCAATATTTGCTTGAGATAGTGCTTGCAGTTCTGGAGGGACTCTTAATTTTTTGCATCTCATAGACTTAGCATGGGAATTTGGTTAACCAGTTAAAATTCATGAGTAAACCAGGTTTTTTTAAAAAAATCTGAAACATTTCGGGGGGGGGGGGTTGAACCCCTAAAACCACCCCCTCGCTACAGGCCTGAGCAGGGGGGGTGGGCAGCTCTGGGGACACATTTATCATTCTGGGCTCTCAAAATACTGCATGGATAATTGAACACAACTATTTATTTATTTATTTATTTATTATATTTCTATACTGCGTTTCTCAGCCCGAAGGTGACTCAAGGCGGCTTACAAATTGGCAGCGATTCAATGCCATAGCAGTAATAAAATACAATTAAAAACATTTAGAACAATATTATAAAAATTCATTTAAAACCATTTAAAACATATAATCACCAATGTCTTCTTGTTACTCTCATTTTCCAGCAACAACAACAACAACAACAAAAACCAAAGTGTCCAGAAGCTCACTTTTGGTTCTTAAAAACTGTTTTTTAAAAATGTTACAGGGAGCCCTTGAAAACTATTTTAAACATAGAAAGTTCCAGGATCATTTATTTACCTTTTGTGGATTGTGGAGATGTTGAGGACCACAAAAATATCCTGGGGAGCTACATAAACATTGGGGATATTTTTTCCCCACAGCCTGGTGGTGCAGCAGGTTAAACTGCTAAGCTGCTGAACTTGCTGACCAAAAGGTCGGCAGTTTGAATCCGGGGAGCAGGGTGAGCTCCTGTTATTAGCCCCAGCTTCTGCCAACCTAGCAGTTCAAAAACATGCAAATGTGAGTAGATTAATAGGTACCGCTCCAGCGGGAAGGTAACAGTGCTCCACATGACCTATGCTGGCCACATGACCTAGGAGGTGTCTATGGACAATGCTGGTTCTTTAGCTTAGAAATGGAGATGAGTGCCACTCATCCAGAGTCAGACTTGATTAGACTTAATGCTAAGGGGAAATCTTTACCTTTTTAAATAGGCATTGAATGACATGTACCTTCTCCACTTTCAACTTCTTTACAGATAAATAAATGATGGAGTCCCAGTATTAAAAATGAAATATATGGATTTAAAGAAGTATTGAGCTACTGCTCCTGTAAACTGCACAATGTGGCTCTGGTTTCCAGGAGTGCAGCAAGGCATAGCATTTTACTGAACAGCTTCCTTCCATAAGTGGTGGGCAATGCATTATGAGATTGAAGTGGAGATACAATGACCTTCAGCATCATACCTAGCAGATGGCTAATCAGGCATGCCCTGTAGGACTTCTGATTAGGGAATGTCATGCACCCTGCTGAATGGGTTTTTTTTTGGCGTGTCAGGAGTGACTTGAGAAACTGCAAGTCGCTTCTGGTGTGAGAGAATTGGCCGTCTGCAAGGATGTTGCCCAGGGGACGCCCGGATGATTTGTTGTTTTTATCATCCTTGTGAGAGGCTTCTCTCATGTCCCTGCATGAGGAGCTGGAGTTGATAGAGGGAGCTCATCCGCCTCTCCCCGGATTTGAACCTGCGACCTGTCTGTCTTCAGTCCTGCCGGCACAGGGGTTTAACCCACTGCGCCACCGGGGGCTCCTGCTGAATGGTCAACCACAGGTAGTCCTCAATTTGAAGGTACACTGGAGGGTAATAAATGTAATTAAATCCTGTTCAGTGCTAGCAGAGTATAAAACTCCATTAGTATACTTATGTTCATGGGGGTAGAGGAGGAGGGCAATGTGGCTTACAGATTCCTAACTGCTCTTATAGAAATGATAGAATCTCCTGGATGTTCAGGAAGGTGGAACTTGGCCAGCAAAATGGAAGAATTATGAGGATTGGATATTTCTGTATATAAGCATTGGAATAGTACAGCCATCCACAGGCAGGGGTTGGGATGCCATAATGCCCCAGAAGGTTTCTTACTAGTATCTTATTTAAAAACAAAGAATTGTAAGAATGGAGAGTATAAATCCTGGGATGATCCACGATGTTATCACCTAGGCTGCAGATCAAGCAGATACATAGGTCACCTGGTCACCAGCTTCCCCATGTTTATGAGACATGCATGTTTTGTTTTGTGCATATTTGTGTTATCTTTTATTCCATATTTCTGCCTCACATTGAGAGGCTACTATTTGTTTTTTTWAAAAATATCTTTATTAAAGTTTTTCTTACATACATTAAAAAGGGGGAGAAAGGGGGGAAAAGAGGAAAGTAGAGGAAGAGAGAGAAAGGAAAGAAAAAACTGCGGGTGGTGGGGGTMYGGTGGGAAAGTGAAGGGAAGTGGTCAAAGGAGAGYTAGGGTGGGGAACAGGGATAGGAGAAGAAAGAGGGAAAGAGAAGGAGGCCGAAAAGAGGGGGAGAGTARGAGAGAAACAAAAAGGAAAAAGAGGATTATTATATACAGGAAAAATATGTTGACTTCCACCATRGTCTTTGAGAGGGTACTATTTGGMGAAGGGTGGACAGGCACACAMTATGTAGTCCATATGTAGTTCCTATTAATTATTATTTATTTACAGTATTTATATTCCGCCCTTCTCACCCCAAAGGGGACTCAGGGCGGTTTACAATGTACACATACATTGCAAACATTCAATGCTGTTTTTGACATACAAGACATACAGACAGGTCATTCAGCAGTTTTTCCACTTCCACTTTGGATCCTGGAGGTTGCTCGATTCCAGCCACAGGGGGAGCTGTCGCTTCATCCACTATGATGCTGAGCCTTTTGATTGTAGTATTTCCTCCTTGCTCTCCGGCATTTTTTATGGTGTCATAAATTAACCTCCCCGCTTTAAGCAGTACCTAATTTCTGTACTCACAGCACAACTGTTTTTGAACTACTTAGGTGAACAGTAAGCTGGGCTATTTAACAACCAGGAGCTCAACCCCAACTCGGGCTTCGAACTTGCCACCTTTTGGTCAGCAGTGATTTATTGCTGCTAGTGATGAACCAGCTGTGCTACCAGCCCGGCCGTAATGAAGGTCCACCCTCTCCCCCCCTTCAAAAAAACATTGCTGAGCCTTCTGTGGAAATTCTGATAAAAGTTTCCAACAGGAGTCTTGAAGTGAGACGTCATCACTAACCAGGCCTTCTTTTAAAGTCTATGCACTGCTTTTTTTTGACCAGAATAAAAAAGACTGTAGTTTTATTATTTGCTTTTTAGAAATCTATATAAATAAAAATGTAATTTTTGTTTGTGGGATTAACATAACTCAAAAATCACGGGACAGACTGACACCAAATGTGGACACAATACACCTACCGGGCCAACGAGTGATCATCACTCATTGAAACACTGAAAAACATAGTAGAAGAGACTTAAAAAGCCAACAAATAAAAATTTATTACAACGCATACGCAAAACAACACACGCACATATATACACACAAACATACATATATACACAAATATATACACACACAAAACACATATACACAGACTGGGCCACAGCAACACGTGGCAGGGGACAGCTAGTGCTTTATGAGATTGAGATAGAGCTATAATGTTGTGTGTCCAAAAAGAGAAATTCAAATACGTTTTTTTGGAGGATTACAAATCCTGGAATCAGCTAGCTATCACAGCCTATAGGTCTGCCAACTGGGGGTTTCTTGTAACTGTGTTTTTAGAGTAACTTTTTGAAATAAAGCTTTGGACACAGAAGTGAGGAATACAAATAATTCTTAAAATACAAAAAAGTGCATTTTCCTCTCCCCCCCACTTCTTTTTCTCTTTTCCCTCCCTTCCTCCCTTTTTCCCCTGGAAATATATTTGATTAAAATGATGCAAAACAAATAGGTTAAGGATAGTCTTAGTAGTATTGGCTTTCCTTATCTATTTCATTAATGGACTCTCTCTAGTCAACCATTCAATTAGGAACCTCAGTTCCAGTCATTCCCCACCATCATGATGGAAAGCCCTTCATGTCCTCATTAGTATACAGGAACTGCAATGGGAACTTGCAGCTTACTGCTTTACAAATCTGCTGAGTACATCCCTCTTGCCATATGCTAGTCAGAAACCTGCCAGTTGTCTCTTTCTGCTTTGCTTTTTTCTCATGACAGGACAATAGCTGCAGTGAACTGTTGGGCTCTGGGGAGAAAAGGCAATGCTGAGCCTAAAATATGAAAGAATCAGCATCTAAGGTGCTGCATCTGGGTTCTGCCTGCTGTTAGTAGAAGGGCCGAACTCCCAGGAGATCCCTCAGCTCATTTCGAAGGGATTCTCCTTGTACACTACAGTATTAGTAACCTTGCAAGTCCACTCAGCATCTATGTTGTATTTTTTAGAGAGCTGGAGAGACTGTCAGCTGTCTACACCTAAATTTGTCTGTCTAATAAAGAGAGGACAATGTTTCATGGCATTCTGTTTTGTTTTTGTGGTTGTTTTATTCTCAAAAATTATTTTTCAGAATATATGAAGCAATAAAATTTTAGCAACGTGAGAGGATTGACATGTGTTCG